TATACAAATAAATAATTTTATATATCTCCATATAAATGTCTATTTGTAAAATAGATATATAGCATTATTTAACTCTCAAAAGATTTTTTTTTTAATTCTTCTAATCCACTACCAACTTGCACTGGCATACTTACTCTATTTCATAAACAGTGAAAATGACAGGAAGAAGAAACAGATCAGTTTCACTGAGTACATAGGGCTTTAGATAATTACACCTTTTTTTAATTGAACATTAAATTATTGCTCTTTTGATTTTATGTACAAGGTCTGACAGTTCTGTTTGGTTTTGGAAATGAGAACTCCACCATTTCTGCAACTTAGAACTCAAAGCTACTGAAGGAAGATTACTACACAGGAAGTAGGGAGGCCAGAACAAAAAGGAAGTACATGATGTTCACTTTTACAGGGAACCTTGGCCAACCCATAATCTACAGAGACATTTACTTAGTTTTACCACATATAAGAACAAAAACTTAACAGAATTATAAATAAAAAACACCGGTCATCCATCATTTGTTGAGGATTTATTACCAAACCTACCTGTAGGAATAATGAAAGATTCTAAAGTAGCATTTCCTCGTTTACATATATAGCCAAGTTTTTGATCACATTCCCGATTCTCCCACTTAGCACCTTTGCCAGGATTTAATGCTGCACAAATTTTTCCAGGTTCTGGAGAAGGATGTCCTTAAAAAAAAAAAGCAAAAACAAGCAAAGCTTCAACAACAACAAAGTGTTAGCACATCATGGTTATCCTCCTACCTACTATTACTCTCTAATCTGTTCCATGCTTTAGTTTTAAGATACATTAACATATAGGCAACTGTGATTCTCCACAGTCCCTTAGACTGAACAGTGCAGTTCATTCCCTTAAGAGATATTTTTTCACAGTCACCACAAGTTGAGACATTTTTCCAGTTCACAGTTTAGCAGCTTCTTCACAGATTCAAACTCTTGCTGGACAGTGTTACAGTGCACCTATTTATTTTGTTTTGTTTGGTTCCTTTCTAAAAGAACACTGTCTAAACTCCAGAGCACAGTCTTTAGCTGAAAAGACTGTTCAGTAAGCTAGTCAAATTCTGTATGTAATAAAACAGTAAAGGCAGAAAAATAATACGTAACTATTTTGCTAATATGAACTTCTTGTCCGCTTGTCTAAACAATATGACAATAGCAGGATATTTAGATATTTGCAGTTGAAGATTAGCATCAGCACTAACAGAAATATCTAGAAGGAAAGTAAAAGCTGTAGAACAGAACACATTTCTGCAATAAAGTGAATGAACATTTCAAGATCTGATCTAATGTGATTACACTTAACATGGATTTTCTTTCATTTCTCACCACATGCCACACTATACTCCTGTCCTGGGTTCAGCTACAGCAGTCATTTTTTCTCCTTCTTAGTAGCTGGTGCAGGGCTGTGTTTTTGACTTTCAGTCTGGGAACAATGCTGATAACACCGATGTTTTTAGTTGTTGCTAAGTAATGTTTACTCTGACCAAGGACTTTCTCAGTCTCATGCTTTGCCAGGGAGGAGGGGAAGCCAGGAGGAAGCAGAGGCAGGACACCTGACTCAAACTGGCCAAAGGGGTATTCCATACCACAGCACGTCATGCCCAGTATAGAAACTGGGGGGGAGTTACCCGGAAGGCCCAGATCGCTGCTCGGGTCGGGCTGGGTATCGGTCGGCGGGTGGTGAGCGGTTGTGTCCTTTTCCCTTGTTATTCCTCTTACCATTATTATTGGTAGCAGTAGTGGTTTGTATTATACCTTAGTTACTGGAGAGCTGTTATCTCAACTCGTGGGAGTTACATTCCTCCAATTCTCCTCCCCATCCCTCCGGGAGCGGGGGGAGGAAGGAAAAGGGGGGGAGTGAGCGAGCGGCTGCGTGGTTCCAAGTTGCCGGCTGGGCTTAAACCACAACAACTCCATAACAAGCAAGTGTCAGTACTGCTCAGCAATAAACACAGCAAAACAGTATCTTTTAGTGTGCAAGATTGTTCACTGAAAATTATCTTATATCATTATGATTTCATTATGATTACAGTTAGTCCTATATTTCAGTCATGTTACATCTTCTTCCCGTAGGAGAAAAAGATATGCTTACTTCAAAAAGAGATCTAAATTGTTTTAATGCACAACAAAAGTTAAGCTGTTAGCAGTTAGCTCTCCAAAATGCCTATCTAGCATAACTTTTGTTTAAATGTTGAAAACTTAGTTCCCATGTTTTTCTGTTATCTGGGACTAGTGAGATGAAAGAATGTGAAGCTTCCACAAATTCTTTTAAAATATACTAGTGGCAGAATAGCCAGCTCTTGAACGTCCTGGGTAATGAGAATGAGATAGAAACAGGCTGTCAAAAGTAAAGTCATGAAGGCGATACCACAAATAGAAAATAGGTTATAGTGTTATAAGTGTATCATCTTTGAATGAAATTATGGAACATGATGAGTTACAGAAAAATGGAGTCCATCTTAGTTACATGAAAGCCAATCTAATTCTTTACAGGACAACAGAAAGCTGTCTGTAGTTTTAACAGCCATAAAGAGCTCCACTTGCTGCTTTGGCTTCACCTCACAATCAGTTTTCTCCCATTCTTCATTACATGCAGATCCCTATCAGTGCACTTGCATGACAGGCATATAAATACCTTCACAGCAACTTGCAGTTCAGCCCATCTGTTTCCCTCGTGTGCTCACTCCATTGGACAGCTATTTATAAAGTAGTTCGATTAACTCCTCAGAGCTTACCCATTCAAGAAGTTTGTCCTCATAAAGTATGCTTTTGGCCTTATTTACACAAGGAAGCCACTGACAGATATGATGGAGCATGTCTATAGTTACTGCATATTAAATACACGTGGCGTGCTCAATGAAGAGAAAGAGGAGTATTCACACTGCACAACTTCAGACACCTTCTGTAAACTAGCCTCCAAAGGCTTCCTGAATAGCTAATGCAAGGGAACAAAGGTCCTGCAAAAAGACACCTTACCACAAGCACTCTGAATGGTAAACCAGAAAAGTAGCTCTTCTTCACTGTGTACACAGATGGCATAGAGACTAGCTTTTTAATAATGGTACGAGAGTGCAACACTGCAACTACAGGTATGCTCTGTGTGTGTTTGCCTCAAAGTAGGCTGACCTAACATGTTCAGTTTGATACGTGATACTGCCATGGCTAGGTTAATCTCAAATTAAAATTAAAATGCAACCTTTAAGCAAATAATCAAAACAAATGGGAAAGGAATTTAAAAAAAAATTAAAATCTCATGAATTGAGACACCTATAGCACCAGATTTATTCATATAAAAATAAAGTAAATTAAGAAGATATACAAATGAAGTGTAAAAGTAGATGACTTCTAAAACTTTCCTCTGTATTTTGAGGCTATGATTTCCACTGCAAATAATAAATTAAGCCCAGTGTGTATCCCCAGCATAAGGGCACTGTTACTCACAGCGGTAACAGCCACACCCCGCATCTTTAAACTTCAAGACAAGCTTGGTAATTACAGTAGAATAGAGTACTAGAAAAGAAATATGTTACACAATTACCAAATCTTTGCCTTTTAAATTGAGCAGCAACATATTTAACCTTACCTGGAACCCAATTTAAGTATCGAAAAGGAGCACCACCGACCCATTGCCATCCACTGTTGAAATTCAAACTGTTAAGACCAATCCAGAGAGCAGAACTCAGTCTGCCAGTCAAACCTAACAGAGACAAAAAAAGATACTGCAAGTGCACAGCAAGAGCAAACACTATCTCCAAACTTGAGAGCTGAATTCTGGCTAAACCATCTGCTTCTCCTTTTTTTTCCAGTACAGGTTTCAGCCTATTAGCTAAGGTGGCTATGCTAAACCTGCAAAACATGTTATCTTACCTGGGTCACTCTAGTTCTACAGTTTTCACATTTTTAGGTATAGAGAACTTCATTACAATCAAAAGCAAATACTTCTGCATACTCTTTGTAAACCAATGATCATATATAGGAAACAAGTACTTTTCTTCCATACTTATAAAATATTAAATTGATAAAGTTGAACAAAGGTCTCAAAACAAAAATCAGCTATATAACATGAAGCGTGAATACTTTCCTATCGTGTATTTTCTCTTCCAATAAAATTAAAAGCTATGAGTTTCAACTTTACAGAATAAAGTAAAAAAAACTGTTTGCATTTTATGAAACTACATTAAAGTGCAATATTTCCAAACACCATTTTTTTAACAACACATTTTGTACATTTTTCAGGCTCATGATTTCACTTCTTTAGCCAGTGATAAGTCAGGCTTCCAAAGCCAAATTTACTAATCTAAATCTGAAAAGCACCTAGAAATACCATGCTTATGTATGGTCCTCCTGCATTACCTCTAGTCATTATTAATCTATTGTCTCTCTCTGCCTTTCATATAAGACTTGGAAGCCCAGCTGCCTGACTGATGATTTTTTTAAATGAAATGTATTAATGCATAGTTCACAGAAAATCACTGTGCAATGTGTATCATTTATTTCTGCTTCTACCTATGACATCATACCAGTATGTTGTTTTGCTCTATATATTTTAGTTTGGCACCATGTTTGTAAGCAGCACTTGAAGCATGCAAAGGTTAAAAGAAAGAGTAGTTAAGCACTGGAAAGGACTAGAATGTCATACCAGAGCCTGATTTGGCCCCATAACATGAATGTGTTCCAGTACTTATTGCATACAAACAAGTTGTGGTTAAGACAATCAAGAACTGAGCATGACAGGAAATCCTGGTACTGCCAGGATAGCTGTAGAATGAAAAACTGATTTTCACATACATTTGGCAGCCATATCTTATAGTTTTCAATTAAAACACACCTATTAATATCTCACTTCTATATGTTAGTGCCAGATTTCTTCCTTCAGCATTAATTCCACCAATAATTTCATCACATTCAGTAAATGAAAGACCCAGGCTTTGACCAAATCCTTAAACTGAAAACAAAAGTTTAGACATAACAGACTGTTCACAGCATTAAAAATACATTTATCATTCATCTAAATTGGAGAAATATGGATTTGACGGATGGAATATTAGATAGATAAGGAATTGTCTGGATGTCTGCATCCAAAGAGTTACAATCAGCAGCTCAGTTGTCCAAATCAAAACAAGTCGTATACCTCTAAAGTCTCTTACTGGAGCTGATAGTATTAAATATCTTCATCAATGACATAGTGGGACCGAGTGCACCCTCAGCAAGTTTGCAGGTAACACTGAGCTGAATGGTGTGATTGATTCACTGGAGGGAAGGGATGGCATTCAGAGGGTCTTTGACAGACTTAAGGTGTGGGCACATGTAAACCTCATGTTCAACAACACCAACTGCAAGGTCCTGCACGTGGCTTGGGCAATCCCAAATATCAATATGGACAGGAGGCTGAATGGATTGAGAGCAGCCCTGCAGATTAGGACTTGGGGGTACTGGTGGATGAAAAGCTGGACATGAGCCCTCAATGTGTGCCTGTAGCCCTGAAAGCCAGTCATACCCCAGGCTGTACTGAAGAAGCATGACTAGCAAGCAGGTCAAGGGAAAGTATTCTCCCCCTTTACTCCACTTTGGTGAGACCCCACCTGTAGTATTGTGTCCAGTCCTCAGGTCCCCACTATAAGAAAGATAGAGACCTGTTAGAGCAGGTCCAGAGGAGGGCAAAGGCAAAAAGAAGCTCATCAGAAACCTGGAACATCCCTCCTGCGAAGAATGGCTGACAGTTGTGGTTTTTCAGCTGGAGAAGAGAAAGCTCCATCATGACCTTCTCATGGCCTTTCAATATATATGGGGGACTTACAAGAAAGACGGCGAGACTTTTTAGCAGGGCCTGTAGTGACAGGACAAGGGGCAATGGTTTTAAATTGAAGGAGGGTAGATTTAGATTGGACATTAGGAAAAATTCTTTACTGTGAGGGTGGTGAGACACTGGAACAGGTTGCCCAGAGAAGTTGCAGATTCCCATCACTGGCAGTGTTGAAGGCCAGGTTGGAATAGGCTTTGAGTCATCTGTTCTAGTGCAAGATGGGAGGGTGGATTTAGAGATTCATAGAATCATAGAATAGTTAGGGTTGGAAAGGACCTTAAGATCATCTAGTTCCAACCCCCCTACCATGAGCAGGGACACCACACACTAAACTATGTCGCTCAAGATAATCTTTAAATGCCCCTTCCAACTCAAACCATTCTCTAATTCTCTGATTCTTTGAACTTACAATGTACAACATACAACATACAGCTTATGACAGAACAGTTTTGAACTGAATACGTTACATCCTCCAACAGGTAGAACATATCCAAAATATTTTCTAATCTGTTTAATAGATGAATTAGTGGACTATTTCATGTGTACACAGACTAAGAAGGTGATGAAGAGGGGACCGCCTCATTATAGAATGTAGTTTTATTCAAGTACAAAATCAAGAGAGAATTTTCTCCAAGGAGAAGTTTGGAAATGACACTGACAGAGAGTGAAGATAAGACAAGCTATTTGTGAGTCTTTTTGTCTATAAGTTCTTTTTCTTTTCATATTTTAGCACATACTGATGATACAATGGCTTTAATGAGGTGGACCAAATATGCTGGCTAGTACATATAACAAGTAGAGCAGTCTTGCAATCTTGGTACCTGCAGTGTTAGTTTACATACTCTTTTGCATTTTCCTGCATTCCAACATGTGTTCTTTATTACTTACATTACTTAATTGCTGAGGGGTTTGTGTTACTGTAACTTTCTGGAAATACGTAATCAGGATAAAATAATGATTATCTGTCCAATTTTCACAGCTGAATCATTCAAGGTAACAATTTAAATCTACTAATTACCAGAACTGAACAAGTATCAATTTTCAAGATGGAACATGTCATGTAAGTGTCACTTTTACAATAATGCACTTCTTAAAAAAAAATGATGGTTAATATTACCCTACCTGTCAGGTATGTTTGTTCATGCAACTCTGTGATGCTTAGTAACTCTGCCTTCTGTTGTTGACAACTTTTTCTTGCCTGGTGCCATTTCAGAGCTGCCTCAGAGTTAATCTGGTACTGGACATTTGTTAAAGGATCTGTATTCCACAGCAATTCAACACTATTAACTGTAGGGAGAAAAAGAAATGCTGTAACTGATCATGAAGATAGAGGCAGAAAAAATATTGAATGAATTGCATAGCAAAACCACACAAAACCTAAACACTGTTATAGACAACCAGTTTGAAAGAAGCCCTGAGGCTCTCTAACATACTAGTAAATCATGACAGCCTTGTTGGATAGTGCACAGGTAATGAAACAAGGTAACCGTTTTCTCTAACTTAACAAAGCTGCTGCTGAAGGTAGAAGGTGAGTGGCTAAAGTCATGCTAAAAGAGTTGATTTCTCTCTGTGGAGAAAAACACTAAAAACTTCCAGGCTCATGCTAGCTAAGATGTATATCAAGCACATCACTTTTTTTTTCCCTAGTTTTTTTACTGACTTGAGGTACTATATAAAGTGGCTATGGATCTTCTTACTAGAGGTATTCAGACCCAAGTACTGAAAGCAAAACTTGCATTACCAGCATCCATCTCACGCTTTTGTGCCGTTCCTGATTTGTCTTACATATCTGTCTGACATACCATCATGCTTTCTTCTCTGCCATGTGACCTGAGAATGATCTCCAGGATTACCTGACCTTGGCACATTTGGGCAATGCCAAACCAGTGGAAACATAATGCAGCATAAAAAGCAGCCTCAGAAGACACCACACTCCTTTACACCACTGCAATCTCTCCTGGTTCATCTCAATTGAATTCCCACAACAAGCAGCAGAAAACAGTGTGATCTTGCTCTGCCAAAAATGGAACCTCCAGGAGGCCCCAACAGTTAGCTAAATGTCACATAAAGAGATTAAAGTTGCATGACAAAAGCAGAATATAGCAGAGGTCACCGTATGTCTGCTGACAGTGGGAAAATGACTGAAATTCCTGCAGACTGTATCAGAGCTTTTCAAGTTGCAAGCTGTGAAAAAAAATGAGAGAAAGAGGTCTTTTCCTTTTCCGAATTCAGAGAGCTCAGAAAACTTGAGTGCACAAATAAGAGGAAAACAGTGTAATAAACAAAACTCAAGACAAAGGATGATACATGTTAAATGTCAGCAGGTCAGTAACCAGTTCCACTTTTTCCTGTATTAAATATCATAATCTATAGGTAATACAAAGTGCTACTTTTCAAATTACCCTTATAATAAAAAAAAATCAAATATAACCTACTGTAATAACGGCATTTGACTAAAAATGGGTACTTTCATCCCATTAGCATTATCCACAAACCAACTTCTGTCCAAAATGTTTTATGACTACTAGAAGGCAGTATTTCTTTGCTACACTATGTTCTACAAGACCACAAATTCCTGTGGACAAGCACAGCCTGGGATGAAATGGAGATTGCAAAAATAGTACAATCTATAATTCAATAAAGAAAACTGTTTCTGACTTGAAGTAACGGGGTTTATAAATCTTGTACATTAATACAGAGGAAGAGGTAAATGGGTCTTGGGCATTCATCCAGCCTTCCACCTCACTGCCCCAGTCTCATAATTTATAGCTGACTTGTATATGGTGCTCTCCTATAGAACTTCGGTCTTTCTGAACCTTGGAAAATTTGGTTTAAAGGTATTTGAGTTCTCTGAGGTCAAATGCCTTCACAGAGCAGGATTTTGGAGAATCTATATGCTATTGTTTAAAGCTTAGTATCCCCAGAGAACCCAGAAGATGAATCATTTTTCTGGAATGATATATTTTAGCATCTAAATTAATGTTAAACTACACCTGTCCTTAGTACATGACTGGAAAAAGAAATAAAAACTGAACTTTAAACCTACACAGATGAATTCTGTACACATTTTTTGTAGACACACAAATTAGTGAGAACTAGCTATTTCCACTACGATTACTATGAAAATCCCAGAAGTAAAACATACTACACTGGAAAATTTCACCCATGTTCTTGAAAGTTCTACATCTTCAAAGCAAAGCATGGCAAAAATGCTTTGAATTTCAGGTATAGCCCTTGACAGACAAGTTCAAACTTACAGGAAAATCATAAAGCCCTGACCAATGCAGTCATTTATAACATTTATAATTTGAAAAATGATTAAATGATTATCATATCAACATACATTATTTCCCCTGAATTGGCAAATGGAAGGTTCTTGAGAAATTTTAATTTCAAAAACACAAGCTGAAATCTCGCCTTTGACTAGCAGTGACAATAAAGTCTTCTTGTTTGTTTAGTTATCCATCCAATTCCAGTCCACTATCCTCAAAAACTGCATGAATAGAATCATGGCAAACAAAAACTGAGTCTAAATCTTGTTAAGTAGGTAGTCTACAAAATAACTGCCATTGCTTCCTCTCTGAGCATACAGTAGGGAAGGAATCTCATTATAGAGACATTACAGTTCATTATATACAGTCTTTGCAACTGTATATAATGTTGCCAATAGTAAAAAAGTCCAAATTATACTAAACTTCCTTCACATGCTTATTTTCACTTAGACATATTTTGCTAAAGTGCTCCTCTCTTTATTTTTTCCTAGATAAATCTGTGACATTCAAAATCAGGTTACGAGTTTCAGACAAATCAGAAAAAATGACACAATTAACCCCATATAACTTAGTTGATCAGTTCACCAGGCATTTGAACCAGACATAAAACCACAACAAAAACTCCTTAAAAACATCTTGAAACTCCAGCATGAGGGAAAATCCTGCCATTAAAAAAGTAAATTCAGTATCTGTGAATGAATTCAAAGACATAAGTGGTAAATGCTCCATCCCTGGCAGTGTTCAGGGCCAGGTTGGACAGAGCCTTGGGCAACATGGTCTAGGGTGAGGCGTCCCTGCCCATGGCAAAGGGGTTGGGACTAGATGATCTTAAGGTCCTTTCCAACCCTAAACAATCTATGATTCTACGATTCTATGTAGATTTGTCCAATAATCAACATACCAGGCTAAGCCTATTTAAATATTTCCTCATTCTCTGCACTTCTTGTTTCCTTCCTAGTTTTATGCAAGTTTTATGCATAACTTATAAGGCTTTCTCAATTCTTCACAAAAATTCTAGCTCTTTCACTTGTCAAGAAAAGGGCCTTAATGGCCTTTTGTCCACTTGAATACAGCTATGGGCACACTCATTCTCCATATTGTAAGTAGGTCTTACACCGTGCAACCTGTTTTCTTCCCCAACACCCAGTTTTGTATTGCAGTACAACATACAGCTCAAAAAGACACAGTGTAACCTGCAAAAAAACAGTACTTCCTAGGCTACTAAAAATTGTCTGATGTAGCAACACCTCTATTTGTTCCAGTGGGATTTAGGTTTCTACTGTCGTTGTGTCAGCATCTCTTTTTAAAGCACTTAATAGAAGGTCAGAATCACAATTACGTTACCTTCACTGGTCAAATTTCTTCAGCCCTATTGAGTATAACTGCTATAAGTATTGTCTTACGCCCTCTTCATTTCAGAAAACATTTGAGAATGAAAAAAAAGCAACTGGTTCAATCATGATAATTTCACTGTACGTCCAGGCCCTGGGATGAACAGCTTGCATCACAATGATGATTTTCATATCAGCACCTTTGCTCCCGTAGACAGCTTAAGAAACGGCAAACAATTCAGTCTTATTAAATAAACTTACATACAAAGACTTTTATGTCTAAAAAAGCATTTTATGTTTAAAGCATTTTATGTTTAAAGGTGCTGTTAAGGTTTACTAACTTACTGTTCTCTCATGCAGTGCATTCCTCTTTCATAGGGCTGACTAAAACTTCTGCTACCACAGCCTGTCTCTCATTAAAATATATAACCCAAACTTGAATATCTTATAGCCAGTACTGAAGAATCAGGAAGGAAATGTGCAGGCAATCAGCATAAAGCAGCTTTTTCCAAAAACAATCACAGCCATCTGAATGGATTTCCTTGAATTATGCCAAAGAATTAAACAACATTTTAACGATGCCTCCTATTTGCTATACTCAAAGAACACTAGACAGGTAGCATGCTTAAGTTAATCTTGCATATGCTCTATAAATGGGATTGATATTCCCGACATGGTTTTAATATCTTTAAAGTAATACTGGCAGATTTAAAAAAAAAAACAGCCATGCAGTTTTTATTTATGTGAAATAAAGAATGCAACATTCATGGAAATCAGGACACTAATCCTTCATCATCAAACCAGTTAAGATCAACATGAACTGTTTTCTTCACATCAAAGGAAAACATATTTTTCTCCTTAGCTCTGGCTGCAGTCAGCTGGAGCTTTACCACAAAACACAATAATGAAGAAGAAGGGAGGGAGAAGTGCTACCTCTCTCAGCATGACAGAAGAAGCAGCAACTTGCAGACAAAATGCTTAGTGCGTATCTTACAGAAGTTCAGAGAAACTGTATTCAAACTTAAAAGAATTCAAATATGTACAGGCATATTACACCAATTTACTTAAAGTAATACCAATATTTCTAAATAAAGTTCCATGTATTCATAATACTACTGTTGAAACTCTATACTCAAACCTGGCAATTTAGAATACAAATACTTCTCATTGATTTTAAATACAGAACTATAATGCAGCACACAGATTTGGGAAATACTCTGATTAGTAAAAAGTTCATGTAAGCTCCTTCATGCTTAAAAGGCAAGTTATTCCACAAAGTAACCTTTATTTTCAATTAAGCTATGTTCTAGCTTCCAATACTGCTCCACAAATTTCTGAATGGCTTTTGCATATGCTAATGTCACATCTTTACATCTAATTAACTTTCTATTTAAATAAATGGTGTATTTACAGATTCCAGCATATGATTAACACACACGCAGAAGTAGCTGGTCATTTTTTTCATGCTGAGCCCTATATTTGCGTATTTAAGTAGTTCCTAAAAGGATAATAGGCTGAACGGAGACAGAAAACTGCACCATTTCAAACTGTATTTTGTACTGTAAAGCACATGATAAGACCACCAGAGAATAACAGCACAGCAAAATGATGAACACACAAAACTTACATTTCAATGGGCAAAATCCATACATCTTGTCAACATCAAAGTCTGAAGTGGTTCCACACCAGAACCAGCCATCTGATCTGCCAGCATTCGTGCAGTCAGCATACCACTTATCACCAAATTTGAAAGGGAATACACAAGGTGCTCCATTGGCATTTCCTTTCACTGTGTAGGTATCTAAGGAGACATAACAATTTAAAAATGTATAAGCAGTAATAAACATGCGACATATATCAGTTCAGCTTTATGATCATACTATAGCATATTATAGAGAGCAGAGTTTGTTAGCTTAGTATACAAACTGTAGTAGAAATGGGACTTTGATAACTTTACTCTCTAGGTCTAAGCTGATACCCATGTCCACAGTGAGACAACTTCTTATTGCCTAAGGAAACCTGAATTGAACTGGAACTAAGCCAAGCCAAATACATTCCCCCATGCTAAATTTTATAAGCATAACAATCAAAAGCATTAAATCCACACAGTTAAGCAATTTTCTTTTTAAGCACAAACAACTGCTGGTAATTTTGTTAATAACTGACTCAGTTGCTGACCACTGTAGACAGGGAAGAGTACATACATATAAACTTGAAAGATACATACCACTAAGTGGTATAGTATACCCAAATAAAATTTCCGTTTTTTGCTTTATCAGAAATATGGCTTGATGAAATTTAATCAAAGTAACAAAAGCAGTTTTCTGTTTGTGCACATATGTACATGCATTGATAAGAGGACATAGAGCAAACACTACTCGACATGGACTACTAGAGAGGTGACATACCAAGGTCAGTGTCTCACAGACCTGCTGGAAAACAGAGGAAGGAATGGCACACCATCACTCCATCTCCCCCCTGCCTCCTTTCACATGGTTTGCTTTGCTAGGGTTCTTTTATTCTGGCTTTAGACCAAGGATAGTAGCCGTTGTGCAAACCACAGAAAATGCATCTATACCTCCCCCTGCGACCATTTCTGTTTATCAAAGAATAATAAATGGGAAGCTAAATGTATTCCCACATACTTATCATAACTCTATGTATATACGGAAGCATGTCTCACACATAACTTTTTCAAATTTAGCTATTTAAAATATATTATTTCTTTGTTTAACATTTCAGCACCAACACCATTTCTCTCACCAACTCTGATACTCACTTCAAACACTTGGGAAGGCATCTTTAATAGGCTAGAGCTGAAGATGCCAAGAGTTAACTGAATCCTCACAGCATTATTAATATTTGCTCTCCAAAGAAACAAAACGTAATCACAGACTATATACTTACACTATATCTTTCTGTACATACGTAAGTATTAAAAGCTATCATTAACTGTTGGGTAATAGTTACACACATATTCTAAATAATCACAGACTTTTTTACCCTCTCCAAATGGATCACTACCATGAATGGTTAATTATCTATCAGACCTCTGACAACTTAGACAAGAAAGCAAAATGAACCTCTCAGAAAACACGTAACACACACTCAGGTGTTGCTGATTTCACCAGAAGTCACACTCACTAATCATTACTGAGAGGAAGGAAATTCCCCTACACTTCTAGATATTTTAAACAGATACACAGAGAAATGAGTTTGAAATACAGAAATTAATTCACAGAACTTTACCTTCGTAGCCTCGAGAACACAGATCGTCTGTGGTTCCGTAGACTTTCCACCTACTCCATAAACCAGATCCCTTGTACAGCATAATATTCCTTTCCTGTCTGTTTCCATAGTTGAAAAACAAATCTTCCCCTTGGATTGCAAAAAGAGTCTCATTTCTGCATTCCCATCGCTGAAGTTCACTAGCCTTGTCACAAGGATACAGAGTGATCGGAACCCAGTCTTTCTTCGAAGGCACTCCCAAGCACAATTTGAATGCTACGCTCATAAGCTGGTGATCTGAGACCCACCTGAATTTTTGTGACTCATTTTCTTGAACGCAAGGAGCAGTAGTCACTGAATTAGAACTTAGAGCCAGTACACAGCGCTTGTGTTCTTCATTATATATTAAGAAGATGCTAGTATCTGTAATGCAAAAACCACAGGAATCATTTGGTTTGAAGTAATCTTACCTAATTGAAATATGAACCTGGACATTACTCATAGGGGTAAAATCTGTTCAGCAAAAAGAGATACAGTAGCCCTGTGGCCTACACCTTTTACAGTGACCATAGAATGCACCTAGTTCAAATGTGAGGCCATTTCAACTATTTTGCTCCAGTGGAAGCATCTACACTCAAAACTGCAAGGCAGCAGAGATGCAGATCTAGTGTTTCCTGTAGCATTAAAGCATGGGTTAAAATGAAGAATAAAAATGCACTCATGGTATTATTCCAAGCTGCACCCATGGGAGTTACTGAAACAGGGGAACACATACACCAGGAACTGCACTTCCTGACACTGAGCACTCCAAGCAGCACTGGCTCCTTGTTCCTGGCTCCCAGACGTGAGATGACAACAGCCACTAAGTTCTTCAGGCTCCATTTCCCTGCCTTGAGGAGTTCTGTTTCCAAATGCTCTGCTAAAATCCTTGAAGTCATAACTGATGGAAGGACATTTTTTTAAACCTTATACACAAGCTACTTGTAGGGCTAGAACAGCATACTCATTTTTCACTCTGCTGCGGCTGTCAATGATTTCTTTTTCCTTTCTTGCATTTCTCCACTTTGAATGAAACAGTAACAATGGGATTTGTCATCACCAGGTATGCCTCTTAATAATTTACAAAAATCTCCTTGGGACTCTTCATAGCTCCCGAAGTTGTTTCTCCCCCAGTGCTTCACAGCATGCATTTTCATGTATTCAAGGTTTATTTCAAAATCATAACCATTAGACAAGTTTTTAGTGCCTGTTACACTTGGATGTGCTGTGGAGTGCAGTATTTTTGACCTGGTCTTGCCCAAAGACTGAGAATTTCTCTTTTCTGATCCCCCTGAGATACATTTTAGCACACTAACTTAATAGTTCTATCTGATACAGGATCGCATAATGTAACAGGATGCACAAGGTCTTAAAACTATATTTTAACTGGGCTACAAGCTAGGAAAGAGAAATACTAATTTATCTGACTCTGGGGATTGAAGTTAATTAAAAAATATTTTGGTGTATGATTACCAAATTAAACAAATTATATAATAGTGAAATATTTAAGGAGAAAACAGGTTAACCACAGAAAATCTTTTCTGCTGAGGTTCCAATGAGGAAACGATCATACTTTTATGCAGAACAAGCACCTGGGAATAAATAACCTCTCTCTCACAGAAGAAGCTGACCTAGACTTATTTCATCCATGGTTCAGTTTCCTTCTCCTGTCCTTTGGCTTCCAACCCTCTGTGAAGAAGTGCAAAACTGATGAGCACTGGGGACAGAAACTGCTCCCTTTGCCAATCTGTTTTACTCATAGACAATATAAGGAAATGTATAATTATCACGCCTGGTGATAATTTTTTTTATTCCTCTTTTCTACTAGCATTTAGCACAATGTTACTGTAAACTGATATATGCAATGCTTGCAACTTTCCTTTTCCTGAAATCTCATTTAAAGTTCCTGGTTAAAAGAGACATGAGATGTGTAAAAAAGACTGCCTGATCTTTCAAACTCCTAAATTGTATTTGCGGCCTAAAATAACACTCCTCATTTCATGCAGCTTATAGCATTAAAGAGAGGACGCTGTGCACGTGAAAAAGGTAGCCCAAAGTCAAAAGCCTGGATTGCTACACCCAAGCCTGAAAAGGAGTAGAGTTTTGGCTTCAGAAACAAGGTTAGAAAGGTGAAAAAAAAAAGTCTGGCTGCAGGTGTGGAGACAAATCTTTTGCCCTCTGCTATTCTGACTGCATATTTACAAAGTGTTAGCAGTGTAGAAACACAACATAGCTGCTTATACAAGGGCCCCAGCACACACAGGGCTCTGACAGGGACTATTATAAGAGTAAGCAGCTAAAGGGCCAACATAGCCAAGCAGGCATTGAGAATAATTTGGCACCGAAACAGAACAGAACAGGAGGTAGCAGGCTGCAGGAGCAGCTGTGGCTGAGACTGTAGCTGCAGGATTTCCTTCCCATCAGAGTCGCTCCTGTCTCATCCATGACCATACAGCATGGTCCTCGCTTCGTCTAGTTTACAGCTTCATTTCTGTTTTTGCTTTGCCTGCTTGGACACAAAAGGGGATTCCCATACAACACTTTCTGTGTAAGTTATTACATAGTCTAGAAGAATATGAAACAAGCCAGGTATTTGTGCAACACTTCCTATGTCCTGCCAACTCTTCTCTGTAAACACTTTTCACTCCCATCAACATGATGAGCTGTATCTGTAAAATGGGTTGAGCAGAATTACCCATATAACCATCAACTGTGTTTCACTGTTATGTAGCAGCATTTGTTATAGAGTGGTGTTATAGAGGTGCCATTCCTCACTATAAATGAGCTGTAGGTGGTACACTTAAAGGTCCACCACAGCATGATCTTATGTACTGCAATCTTTGTACTTTGAAATTTACCCCTGGAAGGAGGTTCTTTAGAGTGCAAAGGAACATGCCAGGCACAGGAGCCAATTTACCTCACCATTATAAGCCACTCAGGGACATCTAGCATCTTTTCCCTCAAACGTCCCAAGTAGGTCCTAATAAAATTTTTCTCACAGGCTTTCATTTTTCTTCACCCACCACAATGTAACTATTTGCCTATCTCTGGCCCAAGCTTGTATCTGAAGAATTGTGCCAAGCACTGTAAAATCTCTCTGGGCAAGTATCTTTCCCATATATTTCCAGTATGCCGAGGTAGCTTCACACTCTGCAGCATTTGCAAACAATCACAGACTACGCAAGTGTAAATCAAGAAGTAACTCGTGAAGCGGCTGAAGCATTACCAGTGTTAAACACTAATGGAGAGCACCAGAAGAGCACACCAAAAGCCAGAAACAAGACAAGGGAAAGCAATAAGGCAGCAAGCAGGTAAGTTGAGTGCCTTCTCCATGCAGAAATGGAGAATGGCCTACGATGATTGTTGCTAATTACACAAAGCAAGGAAGGCTACAAGGCAGTGTTTTAGTAGATCTCAGACTGGGCAGTGGATGATGCTGAGAGAGTTTCGGGAAGGGTAAATGCAAAATTTTCACTGAAAAATAGCTGTGTGCCGGAAATGCTGGTAATTTCAGAGTAAGCAGGTGCAAGCTCCAGGTTTCACCAAGGAACACAGCTTTCACCTGTTTTCACAGCTCTAAATATACCAACCCCTCAGCTACCTTAACATCCCCCCATGAAAGCCATCTGCCAAAAGCAGGTTCCCAGGCCCATGAAAGACCAGAGGAGGAAAGGGAAGCCCCAACATCAGACCCATCTGCAAACCTCAGTGATGAGGAGGTACCTGGGGGAAGGCCGGGTGAAGGAGTTAAAGTGATCAGCGGCTGACTCCCCAGAGCAGTGGGGGAAACTGAGGCACCGCTGGTGACAGCCCTTTTTGGCATCCACAATGCTGTGGGCACCCAAAAGGCCACCGCCTTGGGCAGCTTTGCCCACCGGGCTCCTCAGGGTGCGGGTGAGGAGGGGAAGGCAGCGGAGGGAGGGCTCGAGGGGAAGCTCCCCTCAGGCAGCACCGAGGGGGTTAAAACGGCCGCGGCTTCTACACCTGCACGGACCCTTCCCGCTCCACCGCCCTCATCCCCCAGGTCAGGCTGGGCTTAGCGCTCGCCGCGACCCCGCTCTGTTCTGGGCACGTCTCCTCCCGCATAGCCCCTGCGGGCACTTACCCAGCAGCGGAGAAACCCGGGGGAGAAGTGCGAGGAGAAGCAGGAGCAGGCAAGGAGCCATCGCCGCTCCCGCCGGGCAGGTCCTCCGCACTTGTGAAGGGCTGGTGGATCAGGGAAAAGCTCTGGACTCGAAATGATAAGGAAATATCCTGTCACATGGGGCGTTTTGAAATAACAGGAATTCGCTGTTCAAACTTTGCTTTCCTAAGCTTTTTTTTTTTCTCCCTCAGCGGAGGGAAGAGCCTCCTTCCAGGCACATGCAGGTGATAAAGTGGTGATAGCTGAGAGGAGGGCTGTTTTTCTCGTTGTTGTCGTTGGTGGTTTGGGGGTTTTTTATCCCCTTTGCGACCCTGCCAGCGTTGCACGTGGGCCAGAGGTTTGTTTTCCAAGAACCCAAGAAACCTCGCCAAGCCCGTGCCAAGGGAGCAGGACATCCCCCTCCTTTCCTCCGGAGGCGAAGCCAAGTCGCAAACGGAACCCCTGTTCAAGCGACCGGGCTTCTCCCGGGCGCGAGGGCTGCAGAAGTAGCAGAGACCTACTTTTGGGAATCCAGAACCTGGCTGCCCCCCTCTCCGCCCCATCACACGGGCGAGCAGGTGGCTCCAGATCGCGGGGAGGCGGCCGGGGCCGCGGGGACCGCAGCCTGTGCGTGGGGGAGCGGGGCAAAGCGAGAGCCGAGCGGGACGCATGGGCTTAAAATCTGGTAACGAGGCGTTTCCTGAGCTCAAATAGACGAAATCCAACCGATTTATATTTATTTACTATTTATTCTTCTGGCTGTGGTGTGGCTGTATCAGCCGTTAGCAGGATACAAATCTCACTCGTGGATCAGTGTGAGGATAAACAGAACCTTGCTTCCTAGCTGGGATTTCACAAACTGAAGCACCTAGGTGGGATTAAATAATCTTTCTGAAAGGGTGCTTTTAGAGCACAATCTGCCTTCAGTTTTTTACAGCTTCCTGCTGTGCTGGGTAGGAGATCTCCCCGTGTGCTTTTTTTGTGGAGAGCAGCAACTTATTCCTTAGAGGCCATAATCAATATACAGTTGAAAGGGTCCCAAATAGATTGAAATCATCAGTCATATGCTGTTTTACATATAGAGGCTTTTGTAACATATCGGACTTGAGCATAATGATAGAGCATACCTGAATACGTAAAGCATCAAACCTACCATGTGTGTGAAGCATGCTGTAACAGCAGCTCTCCCTGTACTGTCATGCACTCAGAAATCTCTGGTGTTAAAAATCTCCACAAGCCTCCCTGCTGGATGTTCTGGGTGGAAAAGTAGAACACATCCAGGGAAACACCTAGGTGAGATTAGTATGGAAGGAATGAGAAGGTACCTCAACAGTATTATTAGAGGAGAAGAACTGATGAAGTCCAAGGTCATTTAAAGTCAATTATGAAAGTCACATTAACATCAGAAGAGATTCCAGCCAGGCACTTCAGTTGTGCTAGGTCCTCCTGTAGACTACGTGCAGGGAGTGAAGAGGAAGGGCTTCGCAATTTCTCTTGATATCTGTGGACCCATGTAAAGGTCAGGAACAGCCTGGCCCAGGGACAGGAGATGGGAAGTATTTCAGCCACAGTCGGCAATGTTCCGTATAGTTACATTGATGAATTCTCATCTTGTAAACTTCACCTCTTGCTGCAGGATACGGTAGATACTTATTATTCACTATTTGCAATGGCCTTTATGCTGAACAACTAAAAGATCCAAGCGCTTGCACTGAGGAAATTACAGTTAACGGTCATTGTACAATTCAGAAATGGATAATTCCTCCATATCCTAGCACTGCCCCCTTCAAAAGATTCAGGCATTCAAATCATGTATGAAAGGTGGATTTGGACATTAATGTTTGTGTGCGTATTTATTTTACCAGCAGTTAGCAGCTGGAAGCCCAGGAAAGCATCTAGTGCTGGAAGGAACAAGGCAGAAGGTGGAGAATAATGCGTTTGTCCCAACAGAGTACTTTTATTTGTAAGATGGTCACTGAAAGTTTGGGAATTCATGGTGTTATTTTGGCCCAAGGTAAACAGAGAAGGGAGACACTGTGTGAAGTTCAGTCTGAATGTAAGTACAACTGCTACAGAAGTCTTTAGATTAAACCCAGATGATTGGAATGGCAAAGAGGCTGCACATAACTTAAGTGCATATGCGTGTCACACGAATAGGCAGAAAGATGGAAACAAATAGATGAGTAGTTATACCTATTTGGCAGTCAGTGGCTGTATCAGGAATGAACTTCTGTTACTCTGAAGTAACAGATGCAACTATATTAGGCCATAATTGGAGATTCTCAAAACTGAACTGGGCAAGGAGCTGAGGAACCTGATCTAAATTTCAAGTTAGCCCTGCTTTGGGGAGGGGGCCATACTAGATGATTTCCAGAGGTACCTTTCAACCAAGATGAGACATCAGAAGAGCTACATCAAAGGCAAGTATTCCAGCCTTGCTTGGGATCTGTGCCTCACCAAATTAGCTCCCTTCCTGATCTGAAAACTGCCTTTTTCTCATTGTCCTTTGCACATACTAGAGATACTGGCACTTCAAAACCATTTTGATATATACACACTCTGTTTAGAGCAGCACAGGCCTTAATGAGCTTATTTACATAACCTCTACATCTCATCTGCAGCATACTCCTCAACAATTATGCCTGGATTTGGCTTGCTCTTTGGAAATCATCACACAAATACATGAATCGAATTCTGATCTGATCTAGTCCAAGGGATTTTCTCTCTTTTGAGACAAAAGGGTTCAGCAAAGTCTCAGGCTACAGAGATTTGTAGGCAAATAGTTACCAGAAGTCCAATCTGCTAAATAACTAATGACAGGATACATGCCCTATTTAGACATATGTTTTCATCTCTCCATGCATAGCAAGCCAGCTGCCGTTTACATTTGGAACAGAAAGGCCTAAATTCCTTTGAAACAGGTCAGACCCTCTCTGTTCCTGGCACATCCAGTACTTGCAACTGGTGACTTTTCCTGGCAAAATAGCCTGAAATCCTGAAATCACAGTGGCCCTTGGCTTTGACAGTCAACAGGAAGATGCAAAATTCAGTCTAAATAAACTCATATCCCGACCTGAAATGTAAGATGCCTATTTTGCTTGTGTTGAAGTAGAACAACTGGATTATTATCTGTTCTTTCACATTTGCATCCAAGAAGGGTTTTGATGTTGTCTATGGAAGCCTGTATCTCTCAGAAGGCATTCAGTAGTTTTCTATACATTTGTTTGCATGGTCATACATTATAAACACAGACTCAAACACAGACAATGCATCATTTGCATCCTCACTATTATCACAACACCTATACTAGATTGAGAAGCTCCGTAAACAAGACACTGAGCAGGGGGAAAAAATGAATTGGGGAACTGGCAAAGTGAGTATTTCCTTTTTATGCAAATCAGATTCCTGTGAAATGTTACTAAAAAATTTATTTTGAAGTTTCTAATTTCTAAAAACCAAATATAATGAAATGTTTTAGGAAGGAAAACAATCAAGGCTTTAATATTTGTCACTGGAGAACCTTCACCTAGTAAAAGTCCCTTGAGAATACCATTAATATCATGTATAATATATACTTTAAATCCACCTAATGCAGTCTCCAGTCTGTGCTTTAAACAGAAAAAACCCAAAACCATTAAAAATTCCAACATTCTGTCTTTACTACAAAGCAAATATGTTGTTGGTCCTTGCATATACTTTAACTGCTTCATGACTATACATAGCTATAGGAATGTACATATACATACGCAATTTCTAACATTTCAAGTTCAGTTCATGTGTGACCCGCACTATGAAAATAAAGAGAAATGTCCACACCCTGACATTTCTCATTGCTTACATCTATAATGAGTGTCACCTCCATAGTTAAAGCCACAGAAAACACAGCCCAAAGTTTTCAGATGCTCAGGACAAGAAAATTCTGGAAGGTTCCTGCTTTCTGTATCATAGAGGACACTCAAATGGCAAAGGAGGGAAGATCTGTGGCCATGGAACACCCAGTGTGCCTACACATACCCTGTCGTGTGCCTTTTATCAGTTCTAATTTGATATTTTCATGGTATTCTACTATGTCATGTTTCAGAAATACAGCTAGGTATTGGATTGTGGGGTGAGGACTGTTCCATATAAAATGCATTGAAGAGTCCTTAGTTATAAGGTATTCACGCCTTAAATGAGCATATTTTGTTAGGAGCTACTTGGTGGACACAGCCAAGACTTACTTTCTTTGAGTGGAAGGACTTCTCCTTAATGCTTGACGTCCCAGACTGCTTGTGAGATGCTTGTAGATGCTTTCTCTCTTGATACAGATATTACACTCTTATTCTGCGAACACTGAGGTAGTTTATATGCAACCAGCAAGGGAGATTTGGTGCTGGAATGAGTTACCCATAATGGAAGCCTATAAACATTTCAGTGTTTCATTAGTCGTCCTAGAGTATTTAAACAAGATTCTCACACTATTGCATGATCTTGGAGAGTTAGCTTTCTAGAAGATCGTATTGCTGTAAAGAGATAATTAAAGTTAGACACTGTGCTGGGTTGGGCTGGGATGGTGTTAATTTTCTTCCTGGCAGCTCAGATGGGGCTGTGTTTTGGATTTAGGACCAAAACCTACTAACTGAAACATCCCTGTGTTGATAACACAAGGCTATTCGAAAGGGCTATTCCATACTTTATGGTGTCATGCTCAGCAATAAAGGCTGAGGAAAGGAGGAGTAAGGGATGATGTTTGGAGTTACGGCATCTGTCTTCCTAAGGCCCTGCTTGCCTTGGGAAGTAGCTGAACACCTCCCTCTTGACAGGAAGTACTGAATTAAGTCCTTATTTTGCTTTCCTTGCACATGCAGCTTTTTGCTTTACCTATTTAACTGTCTTTATCTCAAACCACAAACTTTCTTACTTTTATTGTTCTGATTCTCTCCCCGATCTTGCTGCAGGGGAGTGAGAGAGCAGCTGCATGGGACTTTGCAGCTGGCTGGGGTTAAACCACAATGCAGACTAAAACATTATTTATGATGATCATTTCAGGAACTTTACATTCAA